ACTTAAAGCAAACCTGTGCCTTTCACATTCAGGGCAAAGCAAGTTTACTGTTGCCCTCCTTTCTGGCATATACGTACCTCTCCTGTACTCCCTCACCAATTTATTCAGTACTAGTGAGTACTTCTCAGTATGTAGGAGCATGCGACAAAACTACAAGCACGAAGTGGAAAGTCATGATTGTGATGTCAAACTTTTCAACTTGTCCAAACAGAATATGGTTTGCATTCACTGAGAAAATGCAAAGTATTCTCAGAAGGCCGCCCAGGGTGAGCAAACAACCTCATGTGTTCACTAAGCAGCAGGGTAGCCTCTTGGCACTGGACCCAGAAACCAGAGTCAATCACTGTAGCTTGCTCCAGTGATTTCCAGCCTCCATGAGGAATGGCCAGCTGTTGCACATGGATGTTTACATTGGTCCTAGTTGTAACAATGTAGCTATTCAAAAATAGTCATACCTGGGATTCAGCTTTAACACAGTAATTTGAAATCATTACATTTATTTTTTAATGTGATTAAGGGTAAGTGTCTACGTTCACCTCTATATCCTGCATCTGTCATTCCTTGTACAGCAGGACTGTGCCTGAGAGAGGGGAGATAAACACTTTGAGCCAATCAGGCTATGCTGCAAAGCAACAGAGAACTCAGTTACAGAACGAGAAAATAGAGTGAACATTTATCAGTGTTTCTGTTTTTCTATCCAGTCAGAAGGCTGGGGAAATTGCTCTGTACCATGCTGCAGTGCCGCAGCAGTGGAGGTCCAAAGCCTGGTTATGCCGTTTGGCAGTGGTGCCTGCATCACAGGACTGGTTAAACAAAGTAATCAAAAACTTTTTGGAAGCTAGAACAGTTCACATACTGTACACGTCCCAAAAATCTTTAAGCCATGTTGAAGGCAGAGGTTGTTGCAAATAATAACATTCTAAGGAGAATCATTCGAGTTGGAGGGTGAACAGGCTACAAGATGTGTGATGGTCCGTTTGTCATTGGACAGGTTTTGATTCAGCCATTGTATAATATGACAGAAGAGTTATTGACATAATGATCACAGAATGATTCAAAATATCTTTCCATACACAGTAACCATCTAATCAATCAAGAAGATTGTTTGCAAAGCATGCATGCAACAGTGCCAGATCATGATGCTTTCAGCCATAGTAAATGTGTTGTGTATGATTAGCTAATCATCTAAAGATGGAAACTCAGACGTGCAAAAAGAGAGAGAGAAGAGGGCCATAACATGTCAGCTCTGCAGATCATCCAGTGATCACTATCCAATGCCTATGGTTAAGCTGAGGTGGCAGACAAACACAAGATAACAGCTTAATAGTCAAAAAACTGTTTGGCAAAGGAAATGCCATCAAGCCTGATAAGCACTATCTATAACTAGCCTGATGCTAGCCACATGATGTGCAATTTCTGTAATTTATACCAGCAAATATTTAGTGCAGGTACCTCTCTGGCTTCTGATGTAAATGTTATAAATTACGTCGGGACGATCCTCAGATTGCACTTCAGTTGGCAGCCGCCGGCGATTGTACAATCGTATTTAAAAATGTAACCAACTTAAAAAAATGTAATGCAGTTTTTTGCAATTGATTTTACATTTTCCTAAAAACATTGCTTTGTTGTCAACCAATTTCACATTGACATTTGTGTCTAGGGTGCTTTGTCACTATGCTGCAGAGTGCCCAGAGCAGATTCACTGCTCCGTTCTTTTCTGCTGGTAGGGAACACTGCAGAAAACCATGGTCACCCAAATAGTATGAATTAGCCCTTATTCAGTTTGTAGTCCTTTATAGAAAATGCTTCTATCTCAGCTTTTATAGGCAGAACAGCTCTGATAGTCCTAAACATGAACAGTCCTGCCTATTTAATTTGCAGATATTTGAAAGAAATGACCTTCCTGGGGGAAATTTACCCTCCATCAGACATCCCTGATAAACGATTTTGCTCACTAGGGAGCTCAAGGAATTATCAGTGTTTATAACAAACACTTTCAGTGGCATATTTCAGACCATTTCAGTGTTTAGTTAGGGGCTTTGCACTTTAACTATTATAACTTCATAATTTTTATATTACACTACACCTTTCATATCTAATCTTTTGATTCATTAGTTTAATTAGAAAAATGACTTGTGTTTAACCCATCCGTTTTTCATTTATTAGGTTGTATGTTTGCGTAACTGGAGGCTTGGAGGTGTCGGTCTTAATACATTGTGCTGAAATTTTCCCCCTACCAATCTAGATGCCTAAATAAACTGAAATGCATATTTTCCATGTGATTGGCTGAAAATGTGTGTTACCGCAATTAAACGGGTGCATCTAATAAAGTGGCCGGTGAGTGTAATAGTATATATACCGCATCCAATGGTTTAAGGGACAGAATAAAAATCAGTTTTGAAAAGTAGTTATGTTGGGTAAGAGTGACCATGCCTTTAAATATAGTTTACAATGACTATAACACATAATCAGTATGATATTGGAGGCAGTGCACTCTGGTTTCAGCTGGATGAAAAGCCAATGAGAGGCATTGGAGACCATGAGACATTTTTTTTTACTGCATTCCACCTTTTATTGCAAAATGTGCAGATTTTGTGCTTATAAAAGTGTCCCTGTCTCTTAAAGAATGCAAATTATAAGATCATTTGACATTATACTGTCACTGTATAACGAATACTGGTTTGACCTTTGCACAAATTTCCAACTAGCTAGGCAAGTTTTCTTATCCTTATTTTTGTCTCCACCTCAACAAGAATAATTATTAAACAGCAATGTGTATCAAAATTCTTCAGAAAAGTTTACTTCATCACTTTATACAAAATTGTACTTGCTGACAAACAGATCACTGGCACCCAGCTATCTTGGCTTGGTATTGTTAGTCCAAAATAGGCATGAACAAATAGAACTGGCCTAAATGTAAGCAAGTTCAATACTAGTTAAAGATACAGTTAAATAAACTGATGAAATATTTACAGGAGGAAAGTGTCAGTTGAATATTATGATCCATGGATGGACAGCCATGTACAGTGAAGCAAGCTCCTCATGAAGTCACTCTGTATGTTGAGACAGGAGAACCTGCCACAACTGGGTCCATTTCAGAAGTGCTCAAATCGATGCCTAAACTCCCATAGGTCAACATTTATTAAAGCACTGCTATCCAATCACAGTTGGTGTTTTGTGTTGGGTTTTCTGCACTGACAAAAAATATTAAAAGTGTTGTACATGTCTTTACCCCTAAACTGTAATGTAACAATATTTTGTTCAACACCTTCCTTCTCTAGATTGTCTAAAATACACCTTTAACGCTTAACACCTAACCTCATGTTTAGGCTTACCCTAAGGCTTAAACCGCACCCCAGGGTGTTTTCAAATGTTTTGTTGTTTTAACCATGCATTAGGGTCCATTCACTCTGGGCTTAAAAAAACTCTAGTTTCCTTCATCATTTTGAGCATTTTGTATACTAGCATTTAGCGTTTTTTTTCCTGCTAGAAAACTGCTGTCAAAAACACAAAACTGAAGGTTTTTTTTTTCTGCCTCTAAACAATGGGCTTTTAACCTCCTCGGCGGTATGATTATTTCCGATTTTTTGTGCTGAAAGTGGTACCATTTTTTTGCATGGAAATATGTAGTTTTTTTTATTGTAGGCTGTAATTTTTAGGAATAACTCACTGAAATCTGTACAAACAAGAGTCTAGTAAACATCCCGGGTATGATAAAATTTGAAACACGAAATCATAAATTATAATTTAATAAATAATCATAAAAAATAATAATAATATAATAATAATACATTTAATTCAATAATATAATCAAACCAAAAACACTGAAATTTGAAATACAGAGGCAAATTCGCACATCGCTGAGCAAAGTCGCAAAATCGTTTTCAGTGTCTGATGACGAATTTCCCCACGAATCATTGTCACTCAATTCTGCAAGTGGTTCTGATTTACTATCGCTGTTCTCTAGCTGGTCTAAAACCGCTTTTGACGTAAAGGGACGCTTTTTGGACGCCATGGACTTTTCTAAGTTTCCAGGCAGAAAGAACAGTCAAAATGCAGGCAGGGCAAAGGACGAAGCAGTAGGGACAAAATGTATGTGAAATGCATTGAAACAGCAATGTTTTACTATGTAATAATCATTTTAAAAAAAATTACATTTTTTAAAAATTTCAAATTTGCCGCCGGTTCTGGCGCCCGTATGTCCCGACGTCACAGGGACCGGAACACGGAAGCCGGATGCCGGCATCGGCCGGAAGACAGGGGACACATCATGGGAGCGAAGGACAAGGTAAGTGCTGCAGGGACTCCTTGAGCAACGCCGCATGGTAAGCCCGAGTGGATCTCGGGGTTACCGCTCTTGGTACTCAATTTTACCCCGAGCTACACTCGGGAATACCGCTAAGGAGGTTAAATATGCCTCTAAATGTCCTAATGTGTATATAGACACATAGGATAACATTGAGCTGCTTCTACATGCAAAATGTAAATCCTCTGTAGAACCAGAGTTTTTTTTAAGCCAGTGTGCATTGACCTTTACAGCGTAGTTAAAGTCTCTGCGATGTTTGTTTGAATTTCCTTGTAATGATGTTGTTGCTGCAGTTTGTAGTGTCATGGCTGACTGATTCTCCTATGCCCATGTATTGCTACAACTAGCCTGTCCCTATTCGCCAAAGGGATCAACATAACTTCCTGTTCCAGGTCACAATGCCAAAAGCATATGTTGCCATCTGCTCTGGTTCACATCACAAATGTGGGTGTGCTAATGTAATAAAAACACATCTTCCAGCTGCATAGTGAGCTGTCTGTGTGTCTGTGAATGTTCTGCCTGCTTGTGTTCGTGTCTTTTGTTATATTTACTAGGTAAGTATACAATTTTTGTTCCCTGATATATTGTATATTTAGAGTTGGTGTCTATATAATTTCAAGATTCCTAATTTTCTTTCTTCTGCAATTGTAGTCTGTGAAAAGCAACTCACAATGCATTCAATTTTGCATTTCAGATGGATAAAGTTTGAAGAGAAGGTGGAGCAGGGTGGAGAGAGATGGAGTAAACCCCATGTTGCCACACTGTCTTTGCACAGCTTGTTTGAGCTGAGGACGTGTATTGAAAAAGGGACGATACTACTTGACCTAGAGGCCAATTCACTCCCACAGGTAGTTGGTGAGTATCAAACAGGCAGGTTAAAGTGAATGTAAAGCTAAATCTTTTTTAAAATAAAAAAACAAAACAAATGTATTATAGTTACCTGCACAGATCAGCCCCAAACATCTTCTGGGGTCCACTGTCTGCTCCTTCTCTTTGTGTTCTCTTATAGCAAGCAGCTTGCAGGCTTGCTCCCTAGCTGGTCTGTACACATCCATAGACACACACACAACACAGCTTGGCTCCGTTCCCTCACCCTTCTCTCAGGATTTGACAACAGCAGGAGCCAATGGCTTCTGCTGCTCTCAGTAAAGCCTGTGAATGCAGGAAGAGAGCAGAGTGGGGCTGGATCAAGAACGCTGGATTGAGACTGGTGTCAGGTATGTGTTTGGGGTGGGCACGGACAGTGGAAGGTTTTTTTACTTTAATACAGAGAATGCATTGAGGTAAAACATTTTCTGCTTTTAGAACCACTTTAATTTTGTATCAATTATGTTCCACATATACCGTATGTCTACATATATTTTATCGCTGTGTCTATCTTGTGCACCAATCAGTCTGCACTGCATTATTCAAGTAAAGGCCATATTTTTTGCTGAAATATATTCAATAAAACCATTTGAGTAAGGCTTGTTGTGCGAGACATGTTTTGCAAGGAGTGCTATTTCTTTGAGCATTCTAGGACTTGTATGAAATGTGAATGATATGACTGACTGAGGCCTGACCTTTGTTCTTAACACAAAAATAAAGAAAATATGAACAAAACACTATACATTCTCTTTGTGTAAGCTTCATCTAGCCATAAATGTTTAGAATATTGAAACTGATGCTGCCTTTCTGAGCATAAAGTTGATGTAGTTACAAAATCGCTTGTTGGCAAGATTCCTGTACCATTCAGAAACACTTTGCATTTTCTCAACGAATGCGAATTCTCCTCTTCTTCAATGAGGTAATGAACATGGCGAGACTGCCCTATCATTCCACCTCTTCCAATCAGAGAATGCTTTGCATTTATTGAAAAAATGCAATGTGTTCCCTGTATGGCACCTGAGCAAGATATCTGCTGTGTTCACACTGCAGCAGGGCATCCATTGAGCAAAAGACCCAGAAGCTAATGGAGATCACTGCAGCAGGGGGGCCTACTACAGTGACTTCCAGCTTCCACGATCGGTCAGGTATGGCACATAAATACGTACATTAGTCCAAGCTGGACCAAAGTAACTGTAAAATTTGTCATATCCAAACTTTAAAATTTGTAGAGACACACACACAGGTAAACATTTTTAACTCAATAATAAATTCACCCTTCCTGGTGCAAGGCCACCTTCTTTCATTCACTTGGCAAGGGCCAAAGCTCTTGAGGCTCAGGTATTTGGTATTTAAATAATGACAGAAGGTGGGGTTTGTTGCGGAGATAGCTGGGCTTGAAGTCCCCATGTACAACTTGGAACCCAAAGAAGTTCCACAAATGTACAAAAGTATCAGTTTGAACACTAATACAGATATCTGGAGACACTTAAAGGTGCCTGTTCACCTTGTTACCTTGTAAATGTTTTAAACCAGTTTGGGTTCCTTTTAACTATCAATGATAGGTCTAAAAAGTATGTAGAGAAAAATAATTATATAAATTACCCATCTAACTTTCGCATATGCAGTTCAAATTTTTCAAGTTTTGTAAAAGTTTAATTTAATGACTTTATTCATTTTCTTAACAGAGAAAATCCTTGATAACCAGATTGAGACAGGTCTGCTGAAGCCAGAGTTTAAGGACAAGGTGACCTACACACTGCTCAGGAAACACCGACACCAGACCAAGAAATCTAATCTACGTTCTTTGGCTGACATAGGGAAAACAGTCTCCAGCGCAAGTAGGATGTTTACCAACCCTGATAATGGTAATGTAGTGGCCAGTCTCTGCTGCTGCCCTCCTTTCTGTTTACTTCCCATCTCCATTTCTTGTCTCACTGTCATAATCTAAGTAGTTGAAGAGCATTGCAGTTTATGATCACCGTAGTTTAGTAACTTTATGTTTCTTGTAGAGAACTCAACACACATCCACAGCATCATCTGCATATAGCTGACACTAGATGCCAATTCACTTTTCTAATATTTACCTTTGCTGCATTTACCCATCTCTGCAGACCTTATATTTTGCGTTTGCTAGAAAATTGGTGATGTAGCACTGATGTATCTCATAAAAAAAGTCATATATTTTTGGATTTTTGATATTGTCCTTTGACTTCCTAAAAAGGGAAAATATTAACTCCTAACATGTCTTATCAAAACCCCCAGATAATTATTTTGTATATACAGTCAAGAAAACCTTTGGCACATTTAACAATCACTCAGCTGTAGAGATAGGCAGAAGGATACAAGCCTATCTGCTGTCAAGTATCAACTAATGTCTGCTGTGTATATTCCTAGATGTATATTGAACAAAAATTGCTTAGACATATTAATAACATGCTTGGCCAATGTCACCTTTGATAGATTTTGCCATATAGACTGCAGCACAATCTGTAAGATCTTGAACTGGCACATGAGTGGAAGTTTGGGATCACACATATGGGGAAATATAATTGTAATGCAGATATTTCAACTGCAACATAGTCATATGCAATACAGTATGTGCCATGAAATGCAACCAGTGCATCACTGAGCACAATTGTCATGGGACACTGTTACAGGTACTTTTAAGTGCCAGCCCTAGTTAGTACTTGCAGGTAATGTTTACTATTTCACTACTGATCTCATTTACTTATAGACAACAGAAACAATGCTTTTAGAAAGAAAATTGCACCCACTTCTTGACTGTAATGAGGAAAAGTAGATCTCTTGATGTCCCCCCCCCCCCCCCATCCTGAACATCTATCAGCAAACTAAGAAAGAAGATGAGTAGTGCTAGTAAAATGATTAATTATAATTATAATATAATTATATAATTATAATTATTATAATAGTATTTTGATAAAAACACCAGTCTTTATTCAAACGTCATCCATAGTACAGACAGACAGTTTTCCCAACTACCAATGGTCATTTTTACAATGTAAACTACATTGTAAGCCACAATCCCTCTGAGTAGTAGTACAGAGAAACCAAGGGAAAAACAGGACTTTATGCTTCTAAATCACGTTTACATAGTATCCAGACATTCAGATTTTTTTTTTTCTACTCATCATTATTCATTTCATTTTCACACGATCAATTACATACATTGTTTTTTCTAATGTTTTACAATCTTGTAATGTGATTTATACAGGAGGGAGAGAGGAGGGCTTGATGAAAAACTCATTCCTCTCAGGTGAATAGCATGGTACTTAGCTGTTCTCATGTGTGTGTTATCATAGAGCAGGGATAGGCAACCTCCATGTATATGGATCCCATTTTGTTGTTACATAAGTGCAAATCTGTTTTGTTAAATGTAAGTGATTGTACTCTGTACTGTAAGAACTTGTAGGCTCTTGGTTGCCTATGTCTGTCTCCTTAAGGGAGTGTTTTAATCATCTTCATTCTTCATGCTGCTGTGCAGTGAACACATTAACAGTAATTAATTTTTTTGCGTGTTTGTTATATCATCTTAATCACACATGGCCTGGACATTCTCATTTTTGTGTGTATATATATATATATATATATATATATATATATATATATATTGTATACAGCTTATGCTATGTGTACGTGTGCACTGTGTTTGTTGGTTCATAGTAATCCTATTTACCTTTGTTTGGCTGACTATAATTGGCAGGATTTATTGCTGCATGGCCTAGATGCACTAGTGTGTTATGTTGGTGATGAATACTGCTATTTTCAGGAAATCACAAGCAGAATGAAGGAGAATGACATGCCATTTCATGGGTTTCATTCAAGAAACATGTGCACAGTCTGTGTAGCTTCTCTTTTGGTCATGTATATTTTGTTTATGCCAAAGCTATGTGGAATTTCTTTGTAATAAGGAGAACTTGACCTTTTCATTAAAATATTGAATCACTGTCCATCTTAATTTATTTTAATTGTTATTTTATTGGCTCACCAGTGTACAAAATAGGAGTACATCAGATATATTAACCTAGGATAAACATTCACTTTCTTTAAACACCTTTACACATACTGGGTAGGAAAATTACAATTATATTATAGTTGCAATGATGTTAAGAGTCCAGGTCAGAAAACTGCGGTTATGTGAATATCTCAGTTTTGTTTGTGGGCTAAAAAAGACCTTCTGTTGAAGTATTTAGATTGTGGCCTTGAAACATATGTTTTTTATTTATTTATATAATGCTGAAGCATTTTAAGCAGTCCTTATCCTAAGGGGCTTGCATGCTAGTATACAGTGCTTCTTACAGAAACACATACACAAACACACACTCATATACACACTCTAGATCTAGTTGTGTTAGATACCAATTTACATGCCAATTTGTTTTTTAGTGGGATCCATGGGAAGTTGGGGAGAACTTAGAAACTCCATGAACATAGTTAGCTTAGCATGATTGTAACCCATGGATCTATCCTCTCCTCTCTTCTCCTCTCCTCTTTCCTCTCCACTCCTCTTTCCAGTCCTCTTTTCTATTTCCTCCCCTCTTCTCTTTTCTCATATCTTTCCTCTCATATTTTCTCTTCTGTTTCCTCTCATGTTTTTTCTCTTCTCTTTCATCTCCTCTTTTCTTTTCTCTTTCTTTTCCTCCCCTATTTTTCTTTTATCTTTCTTCTCCTTTCCTTTTTTCTCTCTTCTCTTCCTTCTCCTCTTCCTTTTTTTCTCTTTTCTTTCCTCTCCTCTCCTTTTTTCTCTTCTCTTTCGTCTCCTCTCTTTTCTTCTCTACTTTTTCCTCTCCTCTCATCTCCTTTTTATCTTCCTTTCATTCTCTCTTCTTTCCCCTACCCTTCCTTTTCTTTCTTCTTCTCTGTATCCCTGTCCCTCCTCTCCTCTTTCCTCTCCTTTCCACCTTTCTTTTCTCTTTCCTCTTCTCTTTTCTCACCTCTTTCCTCCCCTCTTTTCTTTTGTTTTCTCTTTCTTTTCATCTCCTCTTTTGTTTTATCTTTCTTCTCCTCTCCACTTTTCTTTTCTTTTTCTTCTCCTATTTACTTTTTCTCTTCATTTTCGTCTCCTCTCCTTTTTCCTCTTCTCTTTCCTCTCCACTCCTCTTTCTTCTCCTTTCCTCTCCTCTCCTCTCTTTTTTGTCCTTCTTTCATTTTATGTTCCTTCCCCTACCCTCCTCTCTTCTTTCTTCTTCCCTCTATCCCTGTTCCCCCACTCCTCTTTCTCCCCTCTCATCTCTCCTTTCTACTTGTGTCTTTCCTTTCTCTTTTTTTCCTTTCATCTTTCTCCTCTTTCCCTTCTTCTACCTTTTCTTTTTCACTTCTTTCCTCTCTCCTCTCTGTCCACTCTTCTCATTTCTCCTTGATACTCTCGCCCCCATTGCCCCTCATCTCACCTCTGTGTGGGTGTATATATATATATATATATATTTGTTAAAGTAGTTCTCCAGAACATCTGTAATTTTGATATCATTCTTTCCTCTAAATAAATAAAGACCTTCAAGTCTATCACACTACTAGTTGGCCATTAAGAATTGCAACACAATACAAATAAAGCACCTACACTATGCAGAAGATGACACGTGTCTAAAGAAATTATGTTGCTGTTCTCTGCTGTCCTGTTTAAAGCTTTTAGTTGTGATTCTATCCTTTATTCTTCTCACTTTTATTTTGCTTTCCTTCTGCTCCTCCTGCTGCTACTCTCCTCTGCTGTCTGCTTTTGGTACTAGCACGCAGTCCTCTAGAGAATTCAGTGCCCTGCCTGGCAACCCGCATGTCGGATGATGATCTCCGAGTGCGGCGCAGCCCCAGCATGGGATGGCTCAGTAAGTTGGGAACAGTCACTTTTTGTGTGAAATGTGTTAGAACAGAAGAAAAAAGTTTGTTGAGTACTAATGATTATGTTGTATCAAATCAGTGTTATTTGTAATTTTCTTTTTAATAAGGTAATGGATAGTATGAACTTGTTTGGTTTTATTAACTGAAATTACTTACCAGTAATAAGATTTGTATGTCATGCCCCTAATATGCATTTTGCCTGCATTTCACTTTTTTTGGTCTGTGTTTATGCACCCTGATAAGGTGATTCCTTTGAGATCTGAAGGGTTGGAAAATATGCACATTACAATAAAGAAGCATTTTGTTGTTCAAAAAATGTCACATCTTTTCGGAGGTAAAACAGTGAACATATACAGTATGTATTTCAATTGTCTGTTTAGCTGTTTGCCTGGAGTTCCATTTTAAATAGACAAAGTAGTAATGTTTCAAGTGCAGTATCCTATACCGATTCTTTTGAAGTCTGACCAGTGCAAGATGGATTCTTTTTGATGGCTATGGGTACTACATTTTGCACAAATGTTTTGATATTTTCACTAATCTATTGAGTAAGTCCAACAATCAGTACAGTGTATACATTTACATTGAGTTGCACATGTTCAACATGACATACAGACAAGTAACTTGCTTGGGCTGGCAGATAGATATTTTGGAAAGGTGATATTAAACCCGCTGAAATTCAAGCTGTGATTTGAAGTGCTGATTTGTACTTCAATCTTTTACACCTCACACTTAAACTTTACCTAACCTTTTACTAATATCCTAGCACCATCCAACAGCATAAATCAAGACCTTAAAGGATAAGTTCACCTTTCTACTTTGCAGGTAAAGAAATGTGCATTTATTATTTTTTTTAGTAAGAGTCAGTATATTGCTGATGCCATGCAGGTCTCCTGCAGACTACTTGCTTGGACATCCCGTACGGGCAAGCCGATACTTCTGACAGGAAGACTAAAAAAAAACTACCACTGTGCTCGCAGCACCATGGTAGTTATTGAGAACTACAGGCCGATGGCCACTAAGGCCGTCGGGACTTGTAGCCCATTCATTCATAGAACACTGTGAATGAATGACACTGCCTTGTATGCGGAGCCCCACATAGCCACACTGTTTTTAACAAGTGACAGCTAGTACGGGGAACTTCTCACCATACTGCTGTCACAGGGATAGGGCAGCAGTGGCAGGATCGGGAACATGTTACTTGTTATCAAAAGTGAACTTATCTTTTAATCTTGACAGTTCCAAAATACATTAAGATCTCCCTGGTAGAACTAAGCACAAGGTTTATCTTTTATATCTTCTCCTTTTCTGCTTAATGTTCACGACCAAACTGCAGTATGCATATAAAAATACTACACTATATTGCCAAATGTATTGGGACACCCCTCCAAATCATTGGATTCAGGTGTTCCAGTCACCTCCATGGCCACAGGTGTATAAAACCATGCACCTAGTCATGCAGACTGCTTCTACAAACATTTGTGAAAGAATGGGTCGCTCTCAGGAGCTTAGTGAATTCAAGCTTTGTACTGTGATAGGTTGCCACCTGTGCAAAAAGTCCATCTGTGGAATTTCCTTGCTACTAAATATTCCATGGTCAACTGTTAGCGGTATTATAACAAAGTGGAAGCAACTGGGAACAACAGCAACTCAGCCACGAAGTGGTAGGCCACGTAAAATGACAGAGCGGGGTCATCGCTCGCTGAAGCGCACAGTGCGCTGAAGTCACCAATTGTTTGCATAGTCAATAGCTAAAGACCTCCGCACTTGGTGTGGTCTTCAGATTAGCACAAAAACAGTGCATAGAGAGCTTCATGGAATGGGTTTCCATGGCCGAGCAGCTGGATCCAAGCCTTACATCACCAAGTGCAATGCAAAATGTTGGATACAGTGGTGTAAAGCACGCTGCCACTGGACTGTAAAGCAGTGGAGATGTGTTCTCTAAAGTGACGAATTACGCTTCTCTATCTGCCAATCTGATAGATGTGTCTGGGTTTGGCAGTTGCCAGGAGTATACGGTACTTGCCTGACTGCACTGTGACAAGTGTAAGGCTTGGAGGGGGGATTATTGTGTGGGATTGTTTTTCATGGGTTGGGCTTGGCCCCTTAGTTCCAGTGAAGGGAACACCTAAGACGTCAGCATACCAAGACATTTTAGACAATTTGTTTCTCCCAACTTTGTGGGAACAGTTTTGGGATGGCCCCTTCCTGTTCCAACATGACTGCGCACCAGTGCACAAAGCAAGGTCCATAAAGACATGATGAGCGAGTTTGGGGTGGAGGAACTGGACTGGCCTGCACAGTGTCCTGACCTCAACGCCAAAGAACACCTTTGGGATGAATTAGAGTGGAGACTGCAAGCCAGGCCTTCTCAGAAGAGTTGAAGCTGTTATAGCTGCAAAGGGTGGGCCAACTCAATATTGAACCCTACGGACTAAGACAGGGATGCCATTAAAGTTCATGTGCATGTAAAGGCAGGCGTCCCAATACTTTTGGCAGTATAGTGTAGCAGTAAAGCTGGCCATAGATGGATCAAAATTTGGCTTGTTCAGCAGAGACCGGACAATTTAGATCAGTGTGTGGTGTCCCAGTCTAGCAGCAACATGGCTGTTGTTAGACTAGCGACCTCAGTGAATCCTTGCATGAATTCCTAGAAATTCCTGTAAGCAGCTGACCCTGCTCCAGTGTATGATTTTTTCTTTTCACAACAAGGCCTGATCAATGGGGACCATTGGGCTCCCAAAACATGTTGAATACTGCTGTGGCATTTTTATTGAAAAATAAAAACTTACTGGACTTACAAAACCTTCACGGCACCCTCAGCCTTTGTATATTTTCATTTGTATTAAGTTTTAGGGCCCAGGCTAAGTTACATCATTTTCTGCTACTCATAATAACTTTTGAAAATGTAAAATTTCCCTTTATTCTTTAAGTGCATATTTACAACTTTGAGACCAATAGGTTGAAGTATAGTAACAAATCTTTACCATGTGAATTAAAGTATATAATATGCACTAGTGCACTATCCAGCTGCTCAGTTATTGTGTCGTTGAATCATTTTGTGCTGTTAAGTGCTGACAACAAGGCTGCGATCCAGATGGGAATGGGAAACTTATGACCTATCCTGGAAAGAGCATAAGTAGTAGGTAGAATTGCATTACATGAGATGGCTTAGCTGTTTGCTGTATGTATCAGCCCCTAGGATAATAGCACAAATGCAGTAATTAATATTTAAAGCAGTAACAGTGCATATGTTACCTGTTCTTATTATGTATACAGTGGGCGAGAAAGAACACTCCTGTTGCTGTTTTCAAGCATTGTAAAATCTAACGATGTGCCAAGTTCTTGTTACACTGTTTTATTAATTTGCTGGAAAATAATTACGCGGATGTATGCTGTTATTATTCCATGAAAGGATGCTGACGGGGGCAGTGCTATAAGTCAAAGCTGAGCACTATGTTTAGATAAAAGATTTTCCCTGCAGTTTTATTATATTGTTAGGTTGTAAATACATAACATATTAAAGCACCTCAGTGTTTCATATACTTAACTCCTTCAAGGAGGTATATAGTGAGAGCGCCTTAATTTTACAAAGTTTAATGTATTTTCAGCCCACATCCTATATTTTCCATTGAATGACATTACCTTCTAAACTGTTATTTGCAGAATGTCATGCCCTGTGGTCATTACATACTTCAATGTAGATCAACTAATGGCCTAATACATTAAGTATGAAACCTACAGAAATATTGCTTATTTTTTAACAGTTTCAGTTATTTTTAATGATTTGGTTGGTGCTGTATACAGTTATACCTAATATAGACAGGTGAATGCATAGCTTGATTGGTGATACAGTTATCAACTTAAGCAAGCACCCACAAGTGCAGGGAAGACTTGTCTGCTCACATGGTGAATGGAGGTTGTTATTAGTAAGATTATCAATGCAGTGGGCTTCAATGGGCACATGGTATGGATGTTGGTCTTTTTGTCTTTTTGGTGTAGTTTGTCCCAATATTCACTTGGATTGTTTGCACATTACAAACTGTGTTCATCAGAGAGCATCTGGGTTATCCTGCAATGGGCATGATGTTAGCTCAACTTAGTAAATAATGGAGGCTGTGTTAAATCTGAAAAACAAAAGATTTTCAGTACGCAATTGGAGGTTTGAAGTGAAAACAGCTTATATTCCATTTGATCCACATTGTTGTCAGGTAGAAAATTATCGGCTGAACAGTGTATCCTACCACATGCAGTCACTGTTCGGGTACCTGCAGCTGCCTGAATACAATCACCGGATGGAAGGTTTATCCATCCACACTGTTAGCGTAGATTAAAGGAACCAGTTGATTTCCTCTTGTTCATCCCATGGGCTAAACAAGAGAAAATCGAGCCCTGTGTGGCAGCCTTTGATGAACAGCTTATACATATTTATTAAATTAACCCAGTCGCCTCTTTAAAGTTAAAGGATAATTTCACCTTTGGGAACATGTACCATATTACACCTGTTTTTAGGTTGGAACATGTTCCCACTGCTGCAGCTGCCTCCCGCTGTCCTCTATCCCTGTGACAGCACAACGAGGAGAAGTTCCCTGTACCAGCTGTGTCTTTTTGAGAACAGCGTGGTCATAAATTCCATAAATTAATGAACTACAGTACAAGTCCCGACAGCCTTTGCGGCTGTCTGCTTGTAGTTCTCAATAAACTACCAGGATGCTGTGGAGTGCTGTGGAGGTTTATTGAGTCTTCCTGTCAAACTGTATCTGCTTACCCATACGGGATGTATGGGCACACAGGTACACTGACAGTTTGTAGAAGTCCTGCATGGCAATGTTTTCCAGGCTCCAAAAAAATAGTAAATGCACATTTTTTTTACCTGCAAAAAAATGGGCATTTTTTAAAAAAATTAACTTATCTTTTAACTCAACAGTGAGATCACCATTGTTGAAGATCCTTAAAACTGCCCATCTAGACATAAACAAACAGCGTAAACCCACATTGGGTCTTGAGCCATTGGTTATAAAAGTTTGTTGTACTGGGCTTATTTAAGCATGAACCCATAGCAACCAGATTTCATCTTTCTTTGATTTAATTTAGTCAGACTAATAATGAATCTGTTTGATTGGTAATGCACTTAACACATTGCTATTCCCTTATTAGAAATATTTTCAGTATTTTACTTCAGATTTACTTTGCTGGTAAAATGAAAGTGTTGCCAGGTATTTATAAACTGGCTGATACATTACCGTATATAGTTTTATGCTTTGTATGCTACAAGTTAGATCCAGATTTTTGTACAAACATCCACAATTTGTTGGCTAGACCTTTATAGGATTCTTGAATCCTAATGAATTGAAGAATCCCTAACAATACTTAATATTATTTTGCATGTTTTATAGGTAGTCCAACAACGCCACACAGGAACCTGACATCCTCCAGTCTGAATGACATTTCAGACAAGCCTGACAAAGATCAAGTAAGTGTGTTGGCACATATTGTTATCTTCGTTCAAAGGGATACCTTATATATAATAAATCTTCAAAAATCTACTTTGTTTTCTTACTCACTCAGTTATGTAAAGTAACATTTTTTTTTTAGGACATGCTATCTTTGGTGTGAAAAAACTATGCTCTGTCTACTCAGTGTGGCTGGTTACTTCAGTCAAGACAGTCCAATTCCTGCAGAAATCCTGATGTGTAAGTGTGATATGTGGTGTCACCATGGAAGAAAATGGACAACAAACATAGTCAGTAAATCAGTAAGCCAAAGTGCAGTAAATCACAATAATCAATCCAAATTCATCTAACAGTTATCTGATGTTAGTAGATCAAAATGGGATTGGTTGCTGTGAATTACTGCACTTTACAAATTCGCTTATTACATTCGATTCTTAGCCGTGTATGGCTTCAGATGAAGACAAGGTGCACAACAATTAAGTTCTCTTTCTTCTCTCTTAACATAATGTAATTTACACAATAAAAGCAGAGAATATGTGAAGCCACAAAGGGGCACTAGCAATTAAAATCTGAGGAAGAATAGCATCTACAGATTTTCTTTAAGGGAAGGTTCTCTGTAATTGGAACTGCATCTAAACGTTTTTTTCCATTTTGGGTAGAATGGAGAAGGATTAGAGCCTTTGTAAGTTTTTTTCTGCTGTTTGTATCCTCCTTAGGGAGATTTGCCTTCAAATAAAAAGAAACATTTTGGCTGGAATTCAACCTTTATGACTACATAGAAATATGTTGCTGAATAATTGGTAAACATATTGTTTCAGCAATACCTTAGGAGGCTGTTTTACTAGAATGAACTAATGTAATATAATGTAAAAAGAATAACATAAAATAAGAACATTTTAAAAAATATTTTTCTTGCCCATGATTGGATGATGGATGTCAGCAGAGCTTCACCTCATTCACTAAGCTTTGGGTAAAACTCTCTTGCAAAGTGAACAATATACTTTAGTAAATCAACCCCACCATCCCTACTGGAAGCCTGTTCCAAGTAACTACTCCTCCAGTAAAATAATACTTTCTAAGGTTAGTTTTGAACTTTCCTCCTGCTAGTCTGAGGTCATACCTCTGTGCTCTTGATGTCACCTTTGTAATGAAAATACTGCTCTCCTGAACCTTATTCACACCCTTAATCAAGGGAATTCATGACCCTCTGACAGTCGGATGCACCTCCACACAACAGATATCTGTTGTAGAATCTGGAGCACACACCAAATGTGGAGGAGGCGCACTGAACCCTCACTCCTCAGTCATAGCAACTGTGTTTCCTCCCCACTGCTGCAGCTGTCACACAGACAGCGCATCAGTGGGGAGTTTTGTATCTGGGGGTGGAGCAGGATAGGGACTCACAGACACTTGTTCCCCATCAGTTCCACTCCCCTTGTAATCAACAGCAGGTAGTGGGCAGATCCTTAGCCTATAGACAGCCTGCTATTGGTTCTAGAATCTACCCACTGCCTGCTGTCAATTACAAGGCAAGAGAGAACCTTATGGGGAACTAGTGTCTCAGTTTCCGCATTAGGCTCTGCTCACTGCAGAATCACTGCCAGTAACAAGCAGTGACAGAGAGAGTGTAGTGGCAGCAAATATGCAGCTCTGCTACATTGCAAGCAGGGACAGGCACTTTGCCTGCTGTCTTTGTGAGTTTAGTAACACTTTAGAACCAGTTCTAAGTTGACTTACAAAGTAAAATCAGTCTGTATGTGCAGTAAAGCATGCTTGTTATATTTACTGTGGAGCCTAAGGGGTTAATCCTCTTCATTGTGAAAAAAAATATGTTTGATCCTGTCTTCTCTGATCCTCCCCTTCTTCCACTGTCCCCGACTCATCTCCTGATAGAACAGAGCCTTGGGGGCAAGCTTCACAGAGAGTGCATGTGATGAGCACAGGGCCAATCAGCACTGTCCACACAGAGGGTCAGGGGTTATGCAGTCTCATAGGATAAGCAGAGGAGAATGAAAACTCCTCCTACAAACTTTAACCAATGCTCAGTCAGACATTGCTAGAAGTCAAAAGACTGCTCTAACTGCTGCTGAGAAAAGGTATTTAGCAGTTTATATTTACTAAAATAATTGCATTTCCATGTTGTGTGTACTGTGGGAGACCAGATATAGTGAATGCAGGGTCCTGGCTTTAGTAACACTTTAATTACCTCCAGCTTCATTATCTTTGTAAAAGTAGTGCTCTTAGGAACCACCTAAATCTGCAGCACATGTATGTTAAGTTACTGAAACAGGTGGTAGGGATTTTTGCATCTATCACAGACCATTTTAAAGGACCATAGTGCCAGAAAGGTGTTTGTAGGGATTTATTGGATTCCTCCTGAATGTGTTAAAAGGTTTCAGTTATATTCCTACTCTCTACCTTTCATACATTAAAGTGGTTGTAAACCCTTACATATACCCAGTGAAATGACTGTCCTCAGGTGATACACAGAGATGAGACAAATCTTCCTACATAAGTTGTACCTGTCTATCTCCAGTCTTTTCTTCTCTACAACCGTTCAAACTGCTGAATTTATAAAGCTTGTAAGAGACTTCAGAAAAAAGGGAGAGGAGAGCTGAAGTTACACTCTACAGAGCTCAACGAGGAGGGGAAGAGAAACACCTCCTTCACACAGCACAAAAACCAAGCTGAGGCTGTCAATCTGCTGAAGGTCCTTCTCCTGTCAGGTGTCAGGAAAACTAATAGCAGAGGAACAAAGCAGCTGACAGAATTGACACTTAATGCCCCCTTATTGAGACACATACACACTATAGAGGGATATGCTTTCTTCATATTTCATATCTGAAGTTTACAACCACTTTAAGTTCCAGTTAACTGTGCGCATTGTATTTGCGTCAAACCTGTATCAAACCTGATCTAGTGATCTGGACAGAAAATATTTACCTTTGCCTGGAGTTTGCCTTTTGATGAAATTTAATTTCTGAAGTTGACCACACAAAATTATTGTACGTTGTAACAGTAAATGAGTTGTCCACTGTAATTAAGAAGTGGATCACTCTGTGCAGTAACAAGTGTCCCTCCCTCAGCACGGTTGTATCACATTTTGCATGCAGTGATGCTGAAGCCCAGCTCTCTGTCTATTTCAGTCCTGTCAGCTCCATTATCTTGCCTTCAAAGCACAGGTAAAGCAACAGCGGTTACACAGATAGTAATTGTTGCTGCCAGGCCCAGGAAACCAAGCTGTGATCTTGACTCAGGTTTGATTTCCCTGTCATTGCATGATTACAGGGACCACTAACAGGTTATGTTTTTAGGACCCCCAGGCAGTTGTGTAGCTGTGTTTATAAGGTGCAGTTTAAATAAAGGGCACTAATCATTTCTCCTTTGATTTTGAGATGATAGCTTAGTGGCCCCTTGGATGTGAACAAGCCTGAACACTTGTATAACAAAAGTTCTTTGTAAGTATAGTAGGTTTATTGATTATGTGGATATACTCAAGCATAACTAGTAGGGATGCACTGAAGTTTCGGTGGCCGAAACGTTTTGGCCGAAAACACCCCTCTCGGCCGTTGGCCGAAATGAAAAAAAGCAGGTGCCGAAAAAACCTTGCCGCCGCCCACCCGCTGCCGCCACAGCCAGCGTTCGATAGTTCTCAGCCTTACCTGAGAAACCATTGATCCCGGCGCTGGACATAGAGATGTGTGAAGGAAAGATGGCCGCCACTCATCTCTATGCCCTTGGAGGACTAGAGCGATGTCACTTCCTGTTTCGGCCATTTTTTTTTTTTTATAAAGCACAAGATCAATGCTTTTTTTTGATCCAATGCTTTACATTATTGACCCCATATCTGTCCATAAAGAGGACCTGTCGCTAATTATTTCTATCATAAGGAATGCATGCATTTCTTGTGATAAGAATACATTTCTTTTAAAGGGACAGTGCAAAAAACAAAACATTAAATACATTTTTTAAAAAAAAGTTTAAAGTGCCCCCGTCCCCCCATGCTCGCACGTAGTGGTGAACGCATACGTAGGCCATGCCCACATATGTAAATGGTGTTCAAACCACACATGTGAGGTATCGCCACGAACATCAAAGCAAGAGCAATATTTCTAGCACTAGATTTCCTCTGTAACTTTACACTGGTAACCTGTATAAATTTTTAAAGCATCACCCATGGAGATTTTTAAGTACCGCAGTTTGACGCCATTCCACGAGCGTGCACAATTTTATAGCGTGACATGTTGGGTTTCTATTTACTCTCCGAAACATCCTCTTTCATATTTTACATAAAAAAAATTTTTTAATCAAAGTGTATTTTTTTCCAAAAAATATATATTCATTTTTAAAAACTGCACATTTCGGTTTCGATTTTCGGCCAAGAATTTTCATTTCGGTGCGCCACTAATAACTAGAATTACTTTTCTAAGCCAAAGGAAGCAAAAATGGAAGAAGAGTCAACACCAAAATAAGGTATAGGTGTAGACATGTCTGTGATAGTATATGGGTGACTCTGATTCAATGACCAACTTTAGTTGCAAATGGAAAGTGTATAAACAGTTGCTATGGTAGAAATTTTCACATAGATGCTTGCTTGGTCTTAGTGAGTAGTGGCTACTTGTTTTGAGCAAGTGTCTGTGCATGCTGAATTTATGAAGCAAAGGTTACGTTAGGTCTTGCTGTTAGATTTTTACATGCCATAGGTGTGATTAGAGGTGAAATTATTTCACCTTCAGAGATGGAGGCAGCTGCAGAAGGACTGCTTTCTATAATCCGATTATGTAGGCTAAGCAGCATGGCTTGCATCTCTAGCACAGAGAAAAAAGCCAGTACACTCAGGCTGCTCAGTGAGTAGCGGGATGGAGAGAAACAAGGGGATTTTTGTATCCTTTAAAGTTTATAGGCATAAGGACTTTAACACTTTGTGGTGTATTTATAAAGCAGTGAATGTGATTTTCAAAAAATTCACTGGTGGTAAATCAGTCACTGTCGATTAAAATATATGCACAACATGTACCAG